CTGACCTTCCCACCACCTGGATCTCTGTTCCTCTGTGTTTACCTTCTTTCACACTGTAATTGTTTTGATCATAGACTGACCTCCAGATCCTCTGTTCTTATAATTTTATTCTGCTCTTGACACTTCCATTTGTTGATTGAATTCAAGGTGATGCTGCCATGTATGTCATGCTGTAGTTGTTATGTGTTCTTGCTGGTTCTCAGTCCACAGAACTTCCTTTAGGATGTTTTTCATAGCAGGGTTGACTTTGACAAAATCCCTTAGCTTCTGCCTATCCTGGAATGTTTTAATTACACCATCGCATTCAATTGACAGCTTTGCTGGGTAGAGGATTCTTGGTTGGCAGTTTTTTTCTTTCAGGGTTTTATATATATCTCCCCATTGCCTTGTTGTCTGCATGGTTTCCGTTGAGAAATCCGAGCTTAATCTGATTTGCTTGCCTTTGTATGTTACACTTCTCTTTACGGCAACTGCTTTCAGGAGTCTATCTTTATCTTTGATTTTGGAGAGCTTGATTATTACATGTCTTGGTGAGTGTCTTTTAGGGTCTATCCTTCCTGGGGATCATTGAGCTTCTTGAATGCTTATCTTTTTGCTTTTCAGGATGTTAGGAAAATTTTCTTCCAGAAGCTCTTCAACGATCTCCTCTGTAGACTTGTGTGATTCTTCCTGTTCCAGAATGCTGATAATTCTTAAGTTATTCCTCTTCATGTTGTCAAACATGAATCTTAGCCCTTCTTCAGATTTTTTTTAATCCTTTTTTGTATGTGTTCTTCTATCTTAGTAGTGTTCAGAAATTTATCTTCTAGCTCACTAGTTCTGGCTTCTATCTCTTCAATTCTACTCCTTTGCCCTTTCAGTGTATTGTCCATGTCTGATATTCTATTATTAATCATTTGGACCTTTTTCTGTAGGTTTGGATTGTTTCCAATACTGTATCTATCTTATTTGATTGGTCCTGTAGGGCTTTCCTGACTTCTTCCTTATTTTCTCAACTCCACTGTATAGTGTTTTGATACATTTGATAATCATTCTTCTGAATTCCTTCTCAGGCATTTCCAAAGCCTGCCTATCTTCCAGTATGGAGTGTAGGTCTACTTCCAGCTCATTTGCCTCAGTCACTTTATCTCGTTTTCGGATATGTGCTGATATGGTCATCTGCTTGTTTTGGGGGTCATCTTCAGGAGTTATCTGTGGCCTTAATACTTAGTTGGGTGTGTATTTTGGTATTTTTAATGCTTTCTGATTGCCTCCAAGTAGATGTGATCAGCAGATGGGTTTCCCTTTTCACTCTTCTTCTTTTATCTTCGTGATTCTGTCAGGCGTTCGTGGCTGCTGTGATCCTTCTCCCGCTTGGTCTTGCCCAAGATGGTGGCTCCAGGAGCAGCTGAGCGTCTTGAATTAGAAAGCAATGGATTTCTTGTTTCTGCGACAAATTCCTCTAGCTATAAGCCTTCCAACCTTCTAAATATTCCTTTATATGTGGTTCAGAGTTCTGGCACCATCCCCTGAGCCTGCTTGGTCCGGTATTCTGTGTTGTTGATGATGGAGCTCCTCACTGCACTTCCACCTTATCCACCATTTTGTTTGTTTTCTCCTTCCGTCTTGTTTTGATGCTTTCTGCATTATTCAGCATTTCCCCCAAAGAATCCTTCACAATTCAAGAGGCTTGAATTTTGTCTTTAGTTCCCTCAGCTTGAGAAATGCTGAGTGTGTTCTTCCCTTTTGGTTTTCTAACTCCTGGTCTGTGTACATTTCGTTATAATATTTGCATTTTTCTTCTCAAGGTGACCTTTGAAATTTTCTGTTAAGCTCTTGTACCTCCTCAGTCACAGAAGTAGCAGTCAAGAAATCAAATGACGTATTGCATTAGGGAAATCTGCTGCACAAGACCTCTTTCAAGTTTTGAAGAGCAAAGATATCAGTTTGAGGACTAAAGTGCACCTGATCCAAGCCATGGTATTTTCATTAGCCTCATAATCATGTGAAAGTTGGAAAATGAATAAGGAAGGCCATTAAAGAATTGATGCATTTGAGTTATGGTGTTAAAAAAGAATATTAAAAGTGCCATGGACGGCCAGAAGAACAGACAAATCTTTATTGGTAGACAAACAACAAGAATGCTCATTAGAAGCAAGAGCAATTAGACGTCGTCTCATATTTTGGACATATTGTCAGGATGGACCAATCCCTGGAGACAGACATCATGCTTGGTAAAGTGGAGGGTCAGTGAAAAAGAGGAAGGCCTCCCCTCCCCCCAACAAGATGGACTGGCCCAGTAGTAGCAGCAATGCGCTCAAACTCAACAAGCTTGTGAGGTTGGTGTGGGCCTGGGCAGTGTTCAGTTCTGTTGTGCATAAGATCCCTATGAGTCGGAACCAACTGGATGGCACCTAATAACAACAAATTTGGGGGTTCTCCTGAGCCCCACCTCCCTCTCTCCAGACCCTGGATTTCCAGTTTGAAGCCCCTCTCCTTGGGTGGATTCCTGCAGCAGCCCCTCCCTGCCCAGGAGTCAAGGCTACCCCGCTGCTTCCCTCAAGCCCCCAGATCTTATATAGAGTGATCCCTCAGCCCCACACCATATGGACCCTTCTCCCACCACCTCCTGGGCCCAAGTTCCTGCCCCAGGTCAGCTTTTCCATGACTGGTTTCCATGATCGGGAACTTGCGGGGGGCCGGTTGGGGGTGGGGGACGCTGGGCTCGATGTCCTCTGGTGCCTCATTCTTTGTCCAAATGAGGCCCCACCCCACCCCTACCCTGGCGGGCCTACCAGCACAGTCCTTTGTGATCCCTGCGGAGGGCCAGCTCCCACTCCCACCTCACTCACCAGTATGTCATCTTTGTGCTGCATGAACTTGAGGGGGATGGGTGCCTGCTGGGAGGAAATAAGCCAAACTGTGGGGTCGTGTGCATGGTTCCAGCCCTGCGCCTCTTCTGATAAGCCCTCACAACTCGACCCACCTCAAATCCCTCACCCAATGCAAGCCCTGGGCGCATTGCTAGGTACTTCCAAAGCCACAGCCAGGTCCAGGAGAGTTAAAAAGACACCAGCATCCTCCCTCAGCCATTTGCAAAGGTGGGCAATCCAAGGACAGAGAGGAACAACTTCACAGGATCGGGCCGCCCTCCGCCTGCTGCCAGGCTGTTCCGAAAGTGGTTGCCTGTTCTTATGGCTTCTCTGGAGGTGAAGGGAAGCTAACAAAGCCTCGAATCGCCCCAAGTGCAGTCTGGGTGCGAACCAGGTCTGCTCTGGTTGGGAAGGGGGTCGCCCCTAGGTAGCACCAACCCCAGTGGGATGGATTGGACACAGCCAGCAGGGGCCAAGGCCAGTGTCAGAACTTGAGAGGGGCCCAGGTGCTGGCCAGAGGTGGCTAAGAGGGGTCCAGCACCAGCTGACCACCCAGAAAAGGTGGGTAGGAGAGTGCTGTGCCCGGAGGGCAGGCAGGGCTCATCCTCTGGAGACCTCACATCTTCGAGAATGTGGGCACCTTTGTAATCTTCTCTGAGCCTTAGTTTCCCCACCTGTCAGCTACGGATACTGCCGGGAGTTGTGCCAAGGACACGGGCCTGGCCCCTTCTCTCCCCCTGCCCTTCCCATAAGTGAAGTCTCTCAGAAGGCTCTGCCTGTGGGTGTGCCCCAAGTTCGTCCGTAGTATCTTAAGTACAAGGAAAAGTAATTTGAAAACTGCATTCCATGTTAATAACGGGTTAATCCTGCGTGGTTATTCCCCACAGTACCCTCAGCTGACAAGTGGGAAAACTGGAGGCTCTGAAACAGTTACTAATGTGCCCAAGAGCTTGAAGATGTGCGGCGTCAGGTGAGCGAGCGCCTGTCCCTCACTCAGGGCAGGCGAAGGTTCTGTGTGGTCAGCTGGCGCTGGACTCCTTCGAGCCACTTCAGATCAGCGCCTGGGCCCCTTTCAGGGTTACAGGGTCACCGTCCCACCAGGGTAGACCTGGGTTGCTTCCACTAGCTAGCCGTCACCCGACCTTGACCCACCTTACAAATAGAGAAACTGAAACTCAGGATGACACCAGGCATTGCCAGCGTCACCCCACTGCCAAGGGAATGGCTGGACCTGGGAGCCCTCCTCAGAGCAGCTGAGGGAGACGCCTGGGGCGGGTCCGAGCTGGTAGGACCAGCCCCGCTTTGCACAGACCACCTCTCAGATCTCGGTTTACCTCTCTTGTAGTGGGCAGACATTGCTCACTGCTTACGTCTTTGTAGGCGCATCGGTCTGCCTGTGGCTTCGCCTTTAGAGGCACTTGGGTGGCCCACCCTGGGATCCAGACCTCACCCGGGGCTTCGGGACCCGCAGAGGGCTGGGGGAGCGGGACGTCGAGGGTGGGACAGGGCTGCGGAGCTGGGAGGGGTGGAAGCAGCGCGGGACTTGCAGGCGGGGCAAACTAAGGCGGGATCAGGGCGGGCCCGCGGGAAATTCAGTGGGCGTGTCGGGTGGGCGGGGGTGGTGGCCGTGTCTGGTGGGCGTGGCGTACTCCGGGCAGAGCCGGAAGGTGCCGGGCCCAAGGACACGCACTCTGGCACATTGCCACCCAGCAGCCTAGAACCCCAAGCACCCAAAATGAGCCTTTCCAAGGGAGACGATTCCGAAAGCGAGCCCCCGGTCAAGTTCGTGCGGCGCAAAGACGACATAACCGGTGAGTGCGCGTGCTCTCTGGAGCTCCGAAGAGATCACAGACGACGGGGCTGGTAGCTGGGGGCCCTCATTTGGACCGAGAAAGAGGCACCAGAGGACGTTGAGCCCAGCGTTCTCCTCCCCCCACCCTCAGCCCCCGTATGTTCCTGAACATGGAAACCTGTCCTGTCTTCAGAGAGCTCCCAGCCTCCTGGCCCCAGCCAGCTTCCTTTGACAGCCACCACACTGACCCCGGGCAGGAACTTGGGCCCGGGAGGTGGTGGGAAAAGGGCCCCGTGTGGTGTGGGACTGAGGGCCCACTCTACATAGGGCTCTGGGTGTCCTGTCTCTGAGGGCTTGAGAGAAACCATGGGATCGCCTTGATTCCTGGGCAGGGAGGAGTGGTTACAGGAATCCACCCAAGGGAAAAGGGCTGCAGACAGGAACCACTGACCTTTGCTTAATCCACTGCTCCAGCAGGGTTCCTTCGTTGTTTCTGACTCAAAGGGACCCTGTCTAGAGTTTCTGAAGAATTAAATCTTTGCAGGAGCAGAAAGCCTCATCTTTCTTCCGCAGAGAGGCTGGTGGGCTTGAAACGCAGATCTTGTGGTTCACAGTCCAGTGTTTATCGTATGGAGCTACCTCGCTCCCCATTAAAGGCTTTTGTTGTTGTAGTTGTCAGGTGCCATCGAGTTGGTACCGACTCATAGCGACCCCATGCACAGCAGAATGAAATAATGTCCGATCCTGGGCCAACCTCACTACTGTTGCCACACTTGAGTCCATCAATGATGCCACCTGGCTGATCCATCTCATTAGGGGTCTTCCTCTTTTTGAGAAAGGAAGTTTGGTCATCTTGGCCTCCAAGGACCACTCTGGCTGCACTTCTTCCAAAACAGATCTATTGGTTCTTTTGGCAGCCCATGGCACTTTCAGTATTCTCCTCCAACACCACAACTCAAGGGCATCAATTCTTCCATGATCTTCCTTATTCACTGTCCAGCTTCCGCATCCATATGAGGCTATCGAAAATCCCATGACTTGGTTCAGGCGTATCTTAGTCCTCAAGCTGACATCTCTGCTCTTCAACACTTTAAAAAGTTCCTGTGCAGCAGATTTGTCCAATGCAATACGTCACCTGATCTCTTGACTGCTACTTCCGTGAGTGTTGACAGTTGATCCAAGAAGAATGAAGTCCTTGACAACTTCAATCTTTTCTCCGTTGATAAGTATGTTGTTTATTGGTCCAGTGGTGAGGATTTTTGTTTTCCTGACATTGAGATGTAATCCATACTGAAGGCTGTGCTCTTTAATCTTCATCAGTAAATGTTTTAAGTCCTCTTCACTTTCAGCAAGCAAGGTTGTATCATCTGCATATCGCAGGTTGTTAATGAGTCTTCCTCTAATCCTGATGCCACGTTTTTCTTCATATAACCCAGCTTCTCAGATTGTTTGCTCAGCATATAGGTTGAATAAGTATGGTGAAAGAATACAACCCTGTCTCACACCTTTCTTAATTTTTAAAACATTCAATGTTCCCATGTTCTGTTTGAACAACTGCTTCTTGGTCTAGGTACAGATTCCTCATGAATACAATTAAGTGTTCAGGAATACTCATACTTCGCAATGTTGTCCATAGCTTGTCATGATCCACACAATCGAAAGCCTTTGCGTAGTCAATAAAGCACAGGTAAACATCTTTCTGATATTCTCTGCTTTCAGCCAAGATCCATAGGACATCAGCAATGATATCTCTCATTCCACAGCCTCTTCTGAATCCAGCTTGAACCTCTGGAAGTTCTCTGTCAATGTAGCCGTTTCTGTATGACCTTTAACAAAACTTTACTAGCTTGAGATATTTAAGTGAATCTGTATTTTTTGTTTTGCAAGTGTATATCAAATGTTTTTCCTTTGTTCATTTGTGAAATATAAGAGATCAATGGAGAGCCACAGAGAGGAAGCAGGATAAATATAGTTACAAGGAAGAGATTGTAATCATTGAGCTGAAACAAAGTGTATAATTTGTTAAATGTAAATTTGATAATCTTGTCTATAACACCCAATCACAAAAACATTTTTTTTTTAAAAAGTGCATGAAAGCAAGCCTAATGATCAGGTCAGTAACTTTCAAGTCTGGGTTCCACTGGCCAAAGCAAGGGCAAACCGAAAGTCAAGGAGCAGGGAGGACACTGCGCTTGTGCAGGCGGAAGGGGAAAGAGGAACTGTTATGAAAATTAGTCCGATCTAACATGAGTAAATTTAAAGTGACAGTTTCGACATAAATCCAAATGGCCATCACTTGTCTGTCTGTCATACTGTGGTGGCTTGTAAGTTGCTGTGATTCTGAGGGCTCTGCCACCGGTATTCTAAATAACCAGCAGGGTCACCCATGGTGGACAGGTTTCAGATGAGCTTCCAGACAAAGGTTTTTAGACCCCAACAAAAAGGGTCCGGCGATGCCTTGCTGGTGAGGGAAAATGACTGGAAGGATTGTGGTGCCCAGTTGTAGCTCAGTTCGCAGTTGGGAGTTACACTTAGAGGGAGCAGGTGATCTCAGGGCTCCCTGGTGAGGTGGCTGCCCAGGACTGGAAGACAGAGACCCCTATGAGCATTCAGCTGCACATCCTGCTTCAGCGAGGGGGTGGGGGCAGGAATTCTAAGGGAGTGGGGCTGCCCTCAGCCTGGACTGGGTCTCCACGATGGACGGCAGGCGGCAGGACTCCCTTGTCCCATTGGGCCCCAGCGCCTTGCAGTGACCAGCTAGGGAGGTCAGAAGAGGGGTGCTGATGCCCATTACAGGAAGAGGCTGAAGACAGAAGCTTGGGAGTTGAACGTGGAGCTGGGAAGGAGGTGGGATAGACAACTGTGCTGGAGCACCTCCTAAGAGGGGCTACAGGCTCCCACCCTATAAAGTTGACACCACACAGTTGGATGTTTTCTCATCTGTCCAATGGGGACAAGACTGTGCTTGAGCCGAGGACAGAGGTTTGGAGAGAGAGGAGAGAGTGAGGACAAAGACATGCTGCAGCATGGGTGTTGGGTGCTATAGCCTTGGGTGCTTCCCTCGTCCCTGACAGGAGATGAGTATGAGGACATGGAGCGAGTGGAGATGAGCTGCGGACACGCTGTGGACCCGGGGAGCCTCACAGCCTGGTGTCGGAGTCTGATGGATCAGGTGGGGCAGACACCACACCCAGGGCCAGGACGATGGGAGGCAAAGTTCCTGCCTCCTTGAGGAGAAAAGAGTTTGGGTTCCAGAGGGTGGGGGAGCAGCACCCTGGGTCCAGTCCAGACCCTATAGCTCCATCTTCAGGAGACAGTGAGAACCTACCCAGGCTCGCGGTAAAGGTTGGCACGGAGCTGTGCTGTGGGCGGGGTCTGAGGCGAATGTGCTAACAGTGGCCCCTGTGGCCAGTACAGGGGATGAGGTGGATGGGATGGGGGGACAGGGTCCGGCAGGCCCTGGACACCATGGACAGACTGTCCCTTCCTGTGTTTCCAGGGTTACTTTGAGCTCTACTGTCCTGCTGACGTTGATGGGGGGAAGTGTGGGAACCTGTGGTCCTACCCAGAGGTTCGCCGCTGTGCTGTGCTGAGTAACTCTGAACAGCGAGACTTTGAGAGGGGACTGGCCCTGCTGGCAGCCAAACTCTACTTCGACTTTAAAGAGGTGGGTAGGGGCCTCTCACGAGAGGGTCACCGACCACAGGCTCTGCCCTGCCCTTCCCTGCCCTGCCCTGCCCACAGGGTGGGTTCCAGCCCCAGGGAAGGGGACGTGAGCATCTCTCTGCATTCTCACTGCACTGTTCTGGGCATCCTCCTCCCTCCCGCAGTGTCCCAGCTGCAAGAGCCTGGTGGAGAGGAAGGACCTGACCACCATCCGAGTGCTTTGCACCATCTGCACTTCCACGCTGGGGGTTCCCCATGAGTTCTGCTGGCAGTGCCTGCTACCCTGGAAGGGAGTAGGGATGCCCTCTGACCACTGTGACAATGTGGGCTGCAGGGACTCAAACCTGGATATCCTGGCCTCCTGTAGCACCAAGGATCTCCCAGGCAGCGAGATCCGAGACTGTCCTTCCATCCGGGCCTGCCCCACGTGCGGAATGCTCATTGAACACAAGGAGAAGTGCAAATACATGCATTGCACGCGGTGCCATGTGGAGTTCTGCTTTGCCTGCCTGGAGCTCGCTCAGACCTGCCAGGCCACCAAAGCAGGTGCCTGGTTTAAGTGTTGTGCCAAGCCCCTAGCCCCAAGGCAAAGCCGAATCCCCGTGTGGCACCGAAGACAGTGACAGCTGGTAGGATTGATGATGTTCAAGGCAGGGAGCAGGCAGGAGAGGGAGGTGATGAGGTCAGCTCTGGTCATGGGGAGCAAATCCACACTCTGTCACTGGGACAAGAAGGACTGTGAATTTTTGAGTCACAATAGAGAAACAGATGGACATACATATAGACAGATGGCAGATAAATAGATTAAAATCGTATGCAGGTGCGCCGTAATTTACATGGACAGGATGGAGGCCAAGGCCGTAGCAGGTAAATAAATAAATGACTCACCTGATCATCTCTCTATGCTGACGCATGTAAGCTCACCAACATACCATCACCTACCTGTGAGGGCAGCAGGTAAGGAGGGGTCCTCTAAGCTCTAAGTGTTCTTACTCATGAAGTTCCTTGACGGGGACCTCAGGGCCCTGAGGGTGCAGATCATAGCTTGGGGACGGGATGAATGGTGAGGAGAGGGGCAGAGACCCAAGCTCCACACCAAGTTGCCCATGTACTCACACCTTCCACCTGCTCAGTCCCCTGACCTGTTTGTCCTGCAGACCCAAGCTGTTCTGTCCTCTTCTGTGTCCTCATACCCCCATTCTCTCATCGGAGTGAATTCTGTGTCCTCACGGCATGATCTGAGATGTACCTGTGTCAGGAACCTGGGCAGCATTGACCCTTCCTGGTCCAGATTGAAGCTCTCTGTGGTTGGGGGTGGGAACCCAATGGCTCCAGTAGGCATGTTAGCTGGCACTTCTTCCCTGAGGTGAAGGACACACTTGGGGAACCCCACAGCATCTGTTGTTGGTGGTGCCGTGGCATCGGTTCTGACTCAGTGATCCAACGCACAACAATGAAACACTCCATGTCATCTTCACAACTGGTGCTGAGCTCTGGGTGGCCACAAGGTAACAGGTCCATGGGCTCCAGACCTGATGCCCATACCTGCATGGAGACCCCTAGACACCTCGGATATGACCCTAGCCCTGAGTTCCCTCTGGTCGAGGTGACCCTCTTCCACCCTCCCACCCACTCCTCCCTTGGCCCTTCTTCCTGCCAGTCCAACCCACTCAGAAATTCCAATATGGGGGAGCAACACTGAAAGATGACAGTCCAGCTATCCATGAGCATTGCTGTCCCAGGGGGTCAGCTGACTCCTGAGAATGTGGGGACAGCTGACTTAGGGGGTGTCCTGAGCAAAGTGTAACCCCTAACCTTCTACCTAGGAAGGACCCCCTGTCCCTCGTCTGCTCCCAGCTCTGGCCAGTCAGGCAGTCTGGACTTGAAAGTGTGGAACATCAGGCTGCCCTGAGCTCCTCCCACAGTCCACCCCGTGTCATTGTGTTATGGGGCCAGCTCCCCTCCTGCCCATCATCCCTGAGGAGCCCGTGATTGGGTGGGGGTGGGGGGAGGGCTCAGTTGCCCTAGCCACTTGGCTCTAGTAGAACATTGGTCCTTAAGGGATAATGGTAAGTGCTGTTGAATCAGTTCCACTCAGACCGACTCTGTATAGGGTTTCTGAGGAGTAGCTGGTGGGTTTGAATCACCAACCTTGTAGTTAGCCATCCGGTGCTGATCCCACAGTGCCATCCTAGGAATAATAAGCCCACCATCCAACCCTGGGTTCTCCCGCTCCTGGGTCTGGCACCTCCAGTGATGGTTAATGGTAGGGTTCCATTCTCAGTGGTTTAGGAAACATGGGACTGATTGCTCTTCCATATGCACTGTAACATGATGTCATCAGCCATTCAGTTGAAAGAGGAGTTTTCTTAGGGGTTTGGCCTGCATCCTATATATGAATGTTCTAATATATATATATATGAGTGTTCGATCCTATATATATGAGTGTTCAATCCTACGTATGAGTGTTAGATCCTACGTATGAGTGTTCGATCCTACGTATGAGTGTTCGATCCTACGTATGAGTGTTCGATCCTATGTATGAGTGTTCGATTCTATGTATGAGTGTTCGATCCTATGTATGAGTGTTCAAGCCTACATATGAGTGTTTGATCCTATATATGAGTGTTCGATCCTATATATGGATGTTCGATCATATGTATGAATGTTTGATCCTATGTATGAGTGTTTGACCCTTTGTATGAGTGTTCAATCCTATATATGAATATTTGACCCTATGTATGGATGTTGGGTCCTATGTATGGATGTTGGGTCCTATGTATGGATGTTGGGTCCTATGTATGGATGTTCAATCCTACATATGGATGTTCGATCCTACATATGGGTGTTCGATCCTACATATGGATGTTCGATCCTGTGTATGGATGTTCGATCCTATATATGGATGTTCGATCCTACGTATGGATGTTCGATCCTGTGTATGGATGTTCGAGCCTGTGTATGGATGTTCGATCCTGTGTATGGATGTTCAATCCTACATATGGATGTTCGAGCCTATGTATTAATGTTCTAGCACAACTCGGGCTTTGCTCTCAATCCTGTGTCTGACTTGCCATCATCTGACCTCTGCATCTTGGTATGTGAGCCAGCAGCCCTCACTGGCCTACACGTTTTGGAGTTTGTTCACCTAAGATATTTGATGCTGAGGGTGGTTCTAAAGAAAACGAAAGTCATCACAAAGATGAGTCTTCTGAATTGGTTCTTAAGCCTAGCTAGTCTGAAAGGTACCGATGACTCTGCCTCCAGTAGGGAGAGGGACTGTGACCCATGGCAGGAGGTGGCAGTAGGAATACGTAAAACACCACCACTTGTAGATCCAGTATTGGTGAGGAACAAGCCTTTGGGTGATCAGAAATTTGATACTTTCCTACAATTTCATCAGCTTGAGAAGTACCAGGAATCCTGTTGTCTGGTCCTACTTACACTTGAGAAAGTGGTGAAAGAAAGACATGGGCTCTGGGTTTCAGAGTCACAGTTCGAGTGCTGCATACAAGACCTGAAGGAGAACCTTACTTTTTATAGTAACAGAGCTGATCGTGCTGAAAACTAGACCCAGAGTGGCTGAGTTGCCATGTGAATTGATTTTCCAACCTTAAATGGTGTGATCAAGTAAAAATGGTTGGGAAGAAGCAATGAGACTCTGATGTTGGGATGGGGACTTATGGACAGGGAATCAGGAAGTGGGGGCCACTGAGCCCCCACATTCTGTTGGTCCACCCTTGCTAACAGATCCAGCCGTTACTCCCATCTGGAGAGATTGCTCCATCTTTGTCTGATACGCCCTCCGTCCAAGTAAAACCAGTATTCCATCCAACTCCATCAGATGATTAAATCAGCCGTGTTGAAGAGTCTGAGACATTGCCTGAAGCAGCACCTGAGATATTTCTAGGGAAATTGGCTGAGGCAGAAGCCTTACAAGTCAATGCTGAATTTATTATTACCACAACCCACCTCCTCCACCCATTTATGCATCTAGACCTATAATAGACTCAAGTTCCTTTGTTAAATGCCATCAGTCAGTTCTGACAGATGGTGACCCTGTATAGGGTTTCTGAGGAGCAGGTGAGGAGTTTCAAACATTGACCTTGTGGTTCAAACTGACTTTATGGTCCAGCGCTTATCCTACAGCAACACCTCAGACTTAAGTCCTGTTGTTCTTGTTAGGTGCCATTGAGTCAGCATGGACTCATAGTGATCCTATGAACAACAGAAGAAAACACTGCCTGGTTCTGGGTCCACCTCACAATTGTTGCTACACCTGAGCCCATCACTGCCACCACTGTGCCAATCCCTCTGTTGGGGGGTCTTCCTCTTTTTCTCTGACCCTCCACCTTACCAAATATGATATGCTTCTCCAGTGACTGGTCCCTCCTGACAATATGTTCAAAGTGTGAAAGATGAAGTCTGGCCATCCTGACTTCCAAGGAGCATTCTGGCTGCACTTCTTCCAACACAGATTAGTTTGTTCTTTTGGTAGGCCTAAGTCCTAGCAAGGCCCCAAAGGTGAAATACTAAGTGTGACCCAGGAGGAGATACATTACACATCAAAAGAACTATGTGTTTTTTCTAATATATACAAACAGAACCCTGAGGAGTACGTGTGGCAATGTTAAAGGAGTGGAAATAGGAATTTGGATCCGTGTGAATTTATTCACATGGATTCTGTAAATACAGGTTCCTAGTTCAGTGTTCCAGCTCATGAGCTTGGAAAGGATCTAATAGTTTGTTTGGTTAGTTCACAGAAGCATGGATTAAACAGTAGCCTACACGTCATCAAGTTGAAGTGCCACATCTGCCTTGATGGAGGGTAGAAAGTGTCCTGCTGTTGTTACATGCCGTTGAGTCAGTTCTGACCTACAGCGACCCTGTAGAGGGTTTCCAAGGAGTGGCTGGTGAGCTTGAACCACCCACCTTGTGGTTCAAACCAACTTTGTAGTCCAGCACACACAGCGCCACACCAGGATTCCAGAAAGTGTCCCCGGTTTTGGAAAATTGCCATGTTAGAGTGGCTTTAGATCCACAGACCAACCATGGCAGGTAGATAGGATACACTTTTAGAAACAAAGGTGAAAAAGAAATTTGTAAAGTTGCAGTCGTCAAGCAGTTAGCTACTAACAGACAGGTCAGTGTTTCAAACCTGCCAGCTGCTCCTCAGGGAGCGATGGGATGGTCTGCTTCTACCATGATCCCAGCCTGGGAAACCCTATGTGACAAGTGTACTGCTATATTGGGTCACTACAAATCAGAATCGGCATGATGGAAATGGGTCTAAGTTGTGGTGAACTGCAAGGGGGTTGACTGGACCCCGTATTGGTAGGGGGCTTTTCCTCTACAAGGTGGGCTTAGTTACCGTTATGGACCACCAAGTCAAAGCAGTAATGACGGTGATGAGACTTCTGGAATTGGCTATGTAATCATGGCGTCTCTGGCAGACTGACTTGAATCTCTACAACAGGGAGTCACAGTCCCTCAATCAATTCTCAGAGTTACCTCAGTTTACCTGACCCACTACGTTTGAATGAAAGTGAGGCCTCATCCCCTTGAGGTAGGCCCTCACATCATTGCCAAAAATTTATACTATTAATCTTTCTCCCAGCCTTCC